GTGAGGTTCATGCTGGGTGCAGACAAAGTGAGTAGGATGAAAAAACCCAGGCAGGAGATGAGCCTGGTGTGGGAGTGCTTGCCCAGGCCCCTATCCTGGGAGAATTCAAGCCTCTGAAATACAAGATAAAAAAATACCAGCCCATGGTAGGAAGTCCCACTCTTTTCCCATGCACTTGTCCCGTTCAGCACTGCCTCATCCTGCCAGAGTAGTATCGTGCCCAGGAGACATTCTGGTGCCCCTTGCGCGCGCGCGCACACACACACACACACACACACACACATACTGGTATCTCATCCACTTCCACAGAATGCAGCAATACCTCACTATTGAATTAATCTCCTCTTGGATGAATAAAATGACACCCAGCAAGCATCTCACTTAAATAGGGAAATAGAAAAAGATAAGTTAAATTGGTAGAAGGATAAGGATTAAGTCACAGAATTCTCGTGTAAAAGAGGTAGAAGCTGTATAAGGCAAAGAAAATCCAGGGAAAAGAGGAGCAATAGCACAGGAGAGGCAGAAAGGACTTGAGTCCTATTTTGACATTTGAAGCTATAGCTGGCAGCCTCTTGAAGAGGCCAGTCAGCATTTTGGGGACAAAATCACCTGGCTGTATGGAAGAGGCAGAAAATTTCGAGAACAAAGTCACGCCTTTTCTTGACAAGCGTTGGCTCATAGGGATTAAGCAGGGTACAATGCCTTCCTTCTGTTTCACTCCTCTGTCTTTCATTCCCTGCAAGGAGGATAAGCAGCCAAGCAGGGGAGGAAGGGGCAATGGTAGGAAGGTCAGAACTAGCTGGCTCATAGATTAATTCCTCCCTCCTTCCTCCACACAGTCAGTCTGCTAGAGGCTGAGTAACAAACGCCGGGACCTAGCAGCACAAAGACCAGCTGTAAGCAACACACACAGGGTTGTTCGGGATATGGTTGACTTTTGGAACGGCGTGGGCGTCTTGTAGCTGAGGGCACAGGGCTCTTCATGGCAGGACTTTGGGCTGAGAGCCCCATAATCCGGGCAAACAGCTCGGGCTCCCCTCGCCACGATCCATCCTCTCTGCAGCAGCGCTGTAAGAGATGCCAGGGTCACACCACCATCTGCTGGCCTGTCCTCGCCGCACAGCTGCGGCAGCCCGGCCCAGCCTCTGGGGCTGCCAGAGGCGTCCTCCGGGCTCCGCTGCAGTGCCAACAGAGCCCCCCTATCGACTGCACAGAGCTGACCCAGGGATCGTAAGCAGCTCCACACCCCTGGGGTTTCTCAGAAACAGAGACCATCTTTATTCTTCTGGCTTTCCCAGCTGTGTGCAACAGCAGTTTCCCCATCACATGTACCTTCCTAATTGCCCTCTTTTAGTTTTGAAGCAATCAAGGGATGTTCCAATCCTGACTGCACTGCTTGGACTTACCATTTGTGAAAGTGCAAGTGGATTGATGCTATCTATGTGCTGCTTCTCAGCTTACTTCATATGGAAAGCTTGCAAACCTGCGGGTGAAGCCAGGTCAACAGCAGCCCAGATGTGCCAAGAAAGGCACCAGGCTTGGTCCTGAGGCCTGAAATCTCATGTGTTGGTCCCTGCATCACACAAATGAGCTGATGAAAGAACCATGTTTGATTGCTAAAGAAGTGAACAGAATCACGGGGGCTTATTTCACACAGACTGGTCACATCAGCCCTGACAAGGTCATATGCACAAAAGGTTGCAAAACCTCTAAACCTCTTCTGGGAGTCTTAATGAGAGTCATCTACTTTAAGTTCTCTCAAATGAAGAGATATGAAAGAACGTTTGCCTTTGTGGAGGTCAGTAACATCAACATTGTATTTCAGGTATCTACAGCACTTTGCAGGGATTAACTAGTTAATCCCTATAACAGCTCTAAACAACCTTTGCTGAGGCATCATTATCCCCCGTTTTATATATGACAGGTGGTGAGATTTCTCCAAGCCTATAATTCAGAGCCAGCAGTTCCCAGACTCTGGGCTGGTGCTCAGTCTAATTGCTCCTGCTGCTGTCTTCTCCCCAGGGATGGATGAGCAAGGGCTGTGCATGTAGACACAAGAGGCAGGGTGCAAAGTGCTCATCTGGCTGACAGGAAGGACCATGTTCTCTTAGGATAATAGGATCAACACACATCCCATGAGCAATCCAGCCTGAATACTTTGCTTCAAACAGAGCTGGAAGCCTGATGGACCAACCATCTCTGGCTCATTTTATCAGCTTTGTTTTCATGTGCCAAGGAAAATTGTCAAGTTAAAAGCCTTGAAGGCTAGTGCTCCTGTTTATCTTGTAAGTTTGTACAACAGCAGCAGACACCATGAAACCTTACCTGACAGTGAGTCAGCCATGAGCTGAGGAGTCTCTTTCTTCACAGGCAGTTTTCCAGTCTGCTCCAGTATCTGAACATTCTCATCTGCGGAGAATTTGCTGAGGTCTGTAAGCAGACATCTCAGCAGGTGCCTTTCAAAAAGCACAGCAAACAGGACCTGAATGGCGTATGTAAGACCCACACTAGGTTTTGTAGGATTGCTGTTAATGAGCTTGCATTGCTGTTATTAATAATGCAAGACAAGAAGGTACTTTCTCAGTCATGGTGGCTCCTGGGATATCAATTTTAGCTGGAGACAATAGTGTTTAAGGTCTTCTGAATCCTCATAGATCCTCCTTGTAGAGTGCTAATCTGAGCATTCAGCATTTGAGTCAATGTGGTAACCCTATGGCAATGGTTTCAAAGGTATACAAGAACCACCATCACAACTATTGCAGCCACCAAAGGAGCAATGGGGTGGTCTGTGGATGATATGGGCTCTCTGGAAGAGGGAGACTGCCACGGTCCAGAGGAATCAGCCACAGCCCTGTATGAAGCTGGAAGCAGGATGCCACAAGTCCCTGCATGTCCTCAAGAGCACACAACGAAAAGGGACACCAGGATGATGAAATGTTGTTACAGGCTAGGGCTTAACTGCTGCTGGACTTTGCACCAAGGCCAAATACACCTTCCTGCCTCCTCCAGGGTTAGCCACAGGTGGCAGCAGGTAACGTGTGCAGATGGGGACACTCTGCACACTCCTTAGACCAGCTTTCCCAGCACTTGCTGCCCAAGACTTTGTGGTTCTATTATCCAGAGAAACACATTAGCAAGCAGAAAAACTGCTGGAGAGTTTAAAAATGTGGATGTCAGCAAATGGTTCACATCACCCCAGGAGCCGGTGTCCCACGAGGGACAGGAGCTGAGGGTACCACCACCCACCCTTCCTCTCCTCATAGCTAGACGATGAATTTCTCTTCAGTGTCCTATGAAATCCTGTCTCGAGGGAAGATCTGAAAGAGGATAAGAAGAACCTTGCAAACTGGTTCAAAGAAATTGGAGGGTGAAGTGTGAGAACGCACGGCGCGGTGGGGCTGACAGCATGACAACCGGGAGGAGCAGCACCCCGGTGTCGCAACCAAGGGCAGGAACCTGACGGAAAGAGCCAAACAGCAACGGGCTGTGCAAAGCCGGCAAGACAGACGTAACCTGGCTGGAAACACAAGCTCCTGGGAGCCGAGCTCTGCGCAGGTACAGCCCGAGTGAGCACCTGCAGGTGGAGCTGCAAGAACGGTGGAGCAGCAGCCAGCATCTACGGCCTGCAAAGAACGGCTGGGCCGTTGGGTGAGGTGAGGCAGGCGGCAAGGCAGGGGTGGAGAGGAGCACAGACCCTCACCTGGCCACACACTTTGGCACGGAAAGGTCGGGGCTCAGCAGGCTGGGAAACAGTCTTTATGTTTGGAGGAATCTGGTGACACTCTGCGACCAGTCTCCTAACTAGGGCAAGAAATCCCAGAGATGGGGTGAAAAAAGAGCCCTGCCAACAGCAGAAGTACCCAGATCAACAGCCACTAACCCAAATGTCAGGCCATTTGCTTAGGAAACAGGCTAAAATTCGCCTTCTATGCAGTTTAAGACAGGAAGTAGTACTACCACCATACAGAGCTGTAGAGGCAGCCTTCACCTTGCCAGGATTTAGCATAAATATTCAGTACTCGCTGATGCAGAAAGACTGACCTTGTCCCTAGGGTCTGGCAGCAGAAGTTCCTACTAGAACCTCCTCATGTTTCTATCTCTTTCTGCAAAAACCCCTTCCCAAAGCGTAAAAGTATTATCAAGGGAAACCCTAAATGCCACATACTGCCCTGAAACATTCTGCACAGTTTTCCAGTTTTGTGGAAAAGTGCTGCCATGAGCTCTCTCCTAACACAAAGCCTCCGCTGGAGCAGTGGCTGGGGCAATGTCCCCCGGTTCCCTGTAGCCGTAGCACAGCACAAGAAGGATGCAGGAGTCTCTGCATATTGTCCCTTCCAACTCCACGTCCTTTCCCGGCTCAAGGGCAGCCGTCAGGCCCTGGGGTGCTCCAGCAGTTTCTCTGGAGCAGTGCAGTTCTCCGGCGGCCCGACTGGCTGCACTGTCAGCTCTCATTTGAAAGCAAGAGAAGGGAGAGGGCTTGAAGCGGAAACTCATTTCAGAGCCGTCCAGAAGCAGCAGGTTCCCGCGTTCTTGGTAAAGAAAAAAGCCAAAACAAAACAAAACCCCACACCAGTAAGTGGACAGATGTGATGGTGGTGTGAGTGGAAGTGGAGAATGATCTAATTATCAGTGCGGGGAGGGTAACATCAGGGTGATACAGCCCCTGCAGAACGCTCTCTGCTGGGTGGTAAAACAGTCTCTCTAAGCCACTGCACCCAGAAAATAGCCCATCCCTATGCACCCCTCCCGGGTTGGGCATCTGCCCCATTTCACCAGAAAAAAAAAATAAAAAAGTCTATTTTTCTTGTTGCTTAGTGTGAGAGCAGCCAGGAAGGTGGGGGGGGGGGCGCGGCGGGCCCAAAGAGATGGTCAGCTGGCAAGAGAGAAATGTTCTGTGGTACAGAACCCGTTCAGAGCCTGGCTTATTTTCCTGTCGAGCTCCCTGCAAACCCCAGGATCCTGCCTCCAGTGAGATGTGAACCCGACCCATGGGTCCATTTCCCAGGCTCAGCTGCTCTGAAATGACCCCACTCCCTAGGAGGGGGCTACAGGATCCAACTATCAGGGAGGCCAAACAAGGAACGCCTTTCTTGGCAAAGGAGGAAAGGACCTGGGAGGCCCCCTTCGCTCAGGTGACCCACCTGACCCCCATTGCAAACAGCTATAAATCCTCCTGCTTCCCCACCACAGCATTCCCAGGCACTCCTTCTCTCACTGGAGCTGGGCCTGGCTCTGCAAAGCCTGTCAGTGCTGGATGGCCTTGGAAGGTAAATATGAAGCTGGCTGACTTACTTATCAGAGGGGTTTTTCTGGCTGAGAACTAAGCTGATTTTAACCAGTGCATTGCTAGGCACAAGTTGGCTTTTTGCCTTTGCTGGGCTCCCTGCAGGACTGGTTCACCTGGACCCTGTTAACCAGGTTCATCAAGGCTCAATGTGGTCCCTGCCAGGAACCCCAGGGTGGTAGCTGGCACCGGGCACTCTCTTCCCACTGACATCAGGCTGGATTCACTTGGTCTCTGCACATGCCAGGTTAGCAATGAGCAGTGTGTTTCCACCAGGCACAAAAGGATGAAGCGTCAGGGCTGGCTCCTGCAGGTCTTTAGAGAAGGGTTAATGTGATAGAGGTTAATGGATCTGCATATCTGTCTTCAGAGCCCCTCCCTCCTCTGCTCATTTGCGACTGAAAGCTGGGAAACTGCCTGCCAGGTTTTCTGTCCTCTGCTGGCTCTTCCCCCAGCTCCATTCATCCCATCAGCCCAGTGCGGTTGATCTCTCAGTCCCCACATTCCACTGTCACCTTCTCACCCTACATCAGCCTCTCCTCCCCAGCCAAGTCTCCAAGCACTCCCTCTTTCCACATCCCCTTTTCTGTACAGTATGTCCTGCCTCCTCCCTTGCAGGATCACACCCCTGTCCCCTCAACTCCTCCCTATCCCAAGTCCAGTGTTACTGGCTTAGTTCTCTCTCAAAATAAGCCTGACAGGGAGGTATGAGTATCTTCTCCACACACAGTGGAAAGCCATCTGGCAGGACTGTTACCTTAGCTGTCTGCCACTCTATGTCACAGTTTTGGTTAGCCTGGGGCAATATGGATGCCGCTGCCAGAGATCAGGGTCCAGGAGCTCCTGAGTACTCTGCATGTGATTTATGGGTTCATGGGTGCTCAATACCCTAGAAACCTGGTGTTTTACGTAAGTGACTGTTAATTGTCACCAGCATGGGACTTATCCACCGTGATGGCACATGAATCACACCTGGTGCAGATTTCAGCTCCTCCTCTGGCAGATAAGAGAAATTAAATGCATGCTGAGATTGTGTGGATAAAGGTGACAAGGTGCCAAGGGATCACCCATGTGGGAGGACGGGTGCTGGTTTGGGGGTGCTGTCTTGCATTGCTGCTTCTGTCCCATTGCAGCACTCACAGCACAAGCTGCCAGCAGGGATGCAGCAGTGTCCTGCCTGGGTCTGGGTGTCAGGGGGCACCAGCCAAAGCCAGGAGTGGCAATGCCGTGGGACAGGCAGAGCAGTGGAAACAGAGCCTGGCAGGGCAATTTCCAGGCAGAAGGGCCACGACCCTGTGGTGCTCAGGCAGGTCAGGTGAATCACGCCTTCCTTCCAGTTTCTCCCCATCGATTATGAAAGGAGCCGAGATGGCTGCTGCAGATACCGCTGTTGTGCCTGTCCCCCCCCAGCTGCCCTGTTCTCGGCTCCCCAGCAGCAACCACGCACAGAGGCCGGTGCCACTGAGGACCTGCAGCCCTTGGAACAGAAACCCAACATCTCTAAGGTGTTTTTAAGAGGTTTCTGGCACTTTGGTTAAGCAAGGTTACCACCTGCTCAGAGTAGTTTGCAGTGAGAACAGCACAGAGGGACCGCTTCCTATGGAGCCTCCTGCTCTGGGGAGGCAAAACCTGCTAAACTTCACCAAATGTCCACCAGCACCTTTCCCTCCCTCCCCCAATCCTTAAGGCTTGACTGCCCATGCCTAGCTGTATCCCGCCCAACTTTCTGAGATTCAACAATATTATCCTTGGGAGTGTTGAACTCTTATAATACATAAGAGTCACATGTAGTTAACCTAAATAACAAGCTCAGGGCTTCCAAGAGATACTTCCTCACGAGCCCAACCCAGCTACCCAAGATGTGAGTGCCTTATGAGCGATCACACCAGGTAGCATCAGGATATTTGCCATTATCTCCAAAACTTTCTATTAATCCATATTCTGGAGCTGCAGTGGTTCATCATGGTCCTGTGTTTTAAACAGATGGAAACAGTCATGGGAATACTGCAGATGGAGATTTATCCATCAACTCTGTCATCCTTGGGCAATTCAAGCTGGAGCACCCTCAGATGTCCTCCCCAGTTGACTTTCTTTCTTAATCCAAAAGCCATCAGTTTCCACCGGCAGAATATCCCCCTGGTTGTAGGCAAGAGCTCTGCTAAGAATTACCATTTAGACGGTGCCAGCTCCACACTTCAGTCAGGAATGCCCTTTTTTCCTTTTTTTTTATTTTTTTTATTTCAGAGATGTTGTAAGTAAATTCACAGCTGAACAACAGTGGGAATGGAAACCCTTAGAGCTGATGGCTGTGACATTACAGGTACAGTAATTCCAAAATGATCCTCCTTTGTGCTGATAACAGGGCTGGCTATTGTTTTCCTGAAGTCCACATGTCCGAAAACACCGCAGGCATAGATAATTGCAGTGAGCATGTGCTTTTGAATCTGTTTCTAAAACATGCCTGGGATTTAAGCTTTTTTAAAATCATGACCCTGATTCTGCTTTTTTTCAAGCTCAAAAGCAACAATTCCTTTGGCTCAAAATGAAGAAGGGTCTAGCTCTTAAATACAACTTACAAAGAGGCAAATGTGTCCCTGTTTTTTTCTTCCTTGTGATGAAAGAACAAAGCCCGAAAGTTTTCAGCATTTGCTCAGTTTCTTTCTTTCTTTTTTTTTTTTTTTTCTTCCCCTTTGATTTGATTTCCTTTTTTAGCTGTGGAAGGACAGATCTTATCTGAAGTGACTGGACAATTTGAAACTCTCCCACTTTCTTTCACTATTTCACTCTGATGATGATACTCATTTAGTTTAAGCTTTGTCTTAGGGTATAGCATAGGGTTTCCTTGTAGCTTTTGGCTGGGCAATTGGCTCACAATACCCATCTTTCATCCTTTCGTCCTTTCATGTTGGGAAGATTGCAAACTTCATACAGCTAAAGAGAGAAAACAAATGAGGGATAGCTTAATGATCAGGACGCTTCCATAGGCTATTTTCTGGTGAAAAATAAAACTACCTTTCAGCCTCTCTGTTATCCAACAGTGTAGTAGAGGTTTGGGGACCGTTCACTTGGTCTCTGAATCTTCATTTTACTTTTGCTGGATGTCAGCTGTTGCTCTGCACTCACTTCATCATCAATACACCAGCAAAGCACATGACACACAATGGAAAATGGGAAAAATCCTGAATAAATCGTTCTTCAGTACAATATTTTCAGGACAGTACACAAGAAAGGAAAATTAAATAGAAGTTGCCCTATGTCCCTGTGTCACTCTTCCCCACCTCATCTTGCACACAAAAAGATATTATGTGAGGTGTCCCTGCCCATGGCAGGGGGGTTGGAACTAGATGATCGTAAGGTCCTTTCCAACCCTATTTTATGATTCTATGATTCTATTTTAGCCTGGCCAAGGTACAATGCGCTGACAATTACGTTATCACAGGGCTGGCTCGGCTGGGATAAATGTGAAGTTGTAAACATGTTGTTACTTGGGGCCTAATTCCCCTTGGTGTAACAGGGCTGCACGGCTGACGTTTGTGTCATGCATCCGTTGGCTCCTCGTGTCCCAGCTTAGAAGGATTATAATTACATCTCACCTTGCTGATCTTTTTGGCTTGCCTGCCTTGAATTGCTTCCACAGACCTGCTCGACTTGTTTGTCTGCTGCTTATTATTCAGCACAACCCCCCGCCCACTGCCCTTTCATGTACATTCATGTTTGTGTCTAAAAGGCACAAAGGGACAGTTTTTGAGGGGGAAGGTGATGAGCGTTGGCTGCTGACCGGACCCCCAGCTCCTTGGACTCCAGGGGCCAGTCATGGGGTAGGGGGGAGCCTTGTGCTTGCTTTAGCACACAGGGCAAGGTCAAAGCAGTGCCTGGCTCAGTTGAAGTGAGTCACTACATTTCAAAATATGGAAAATGTAATGAGATGCTTCCTGAAACCTGAGTTTTGTGCCTGCAAAGCACAGGAACAAATGCAAAGCAGAATAAAGCAAGCAGCAGGGAGAGGGTGTAGGTACACACTCTACCAGAAATGGAGCTCAGTTCCTTCCTGCTCTCCCTGCTTGTAACTTCAAAGTGGGTTTTGCACAGGCAGGTGCAGGCAGCACTGATGGAAACAACTTCTCCAGGTCAGGTGAATCTCTGTGCTCTCCAGTGATGGCAGCTCCTACCTCATGTGGAAAAAATTGGCCTCACACTGGCCCTCTGAGCAACAAGGCTCTGACATTAGAAGAGAGAATTCCCTTGCTGAACACAGAGTAGCTTTTTTCTCTAGGCTTCATCCTACCTCTTGCAGAAGGACTCTCTATGTGTAGAGGAACATGCTAAGGGTTAATAATGATGCAGGAGATTTCAGACTGCTCTGATTTAGCATGGAGAAATGGCTGCTCAGCTCCATGAGTAGCAATGAAATGGAAGAGGGTTTTTGCAGCAGGTCTCTTGCTGCCTTAGACTTTGCATTTTGCTGTTGCCCTTTAGACGATGACTAAAGCAGCAGTTAATCTTGCACTTAAATCCATAAATCCTAGAGTGACACCTTTATCAAGTCTTACTCACTTGAGTCTGAAATCACACCATTATTTAAGAGGTGCTCCTCAGTAAAGTTAAATGGGAGAGCTGGGATGAGTCAGCCACCGAGGCTGCTGATTGACTTGTCTCAGATCTGAATGGACCAGGCTCCTGGGCCATAATTCCTCACTCAGGGGTGTCCATGTACCCAGAAGGATCCCAAGCTTTCACCAAACTGTGCCAAGGTTCCCAGGAGCTGAGCTCCTGCAAAGGAGCATCTCAAACTGGACACCTTAAAGACAAACTCACAGGCATTTCCCCAGCCTCTGCCCCAGGCGTGCTCAATGCCGAAAATAGGGCCAGCTTGAGCAAGGTCAGGATGTCCACGTGAGAGGTGGAAGATTCAATTCATGTTCCTGCTTTGGTCAGTTTGGATGCTGCAAGCATCCTCCCAAGGGAGTGTCCTAGCCTTGGACTGCTGGGTGGCTTCTAGTCCTCAACACTGCTCAAGGTGTGCCTGGGTGTGAAAACACTCATCAAGAAAGATGGGACTCAGACAAGACTCCTGTGCTTCTGAGGAGTTAACCACCGCTCCGGACATCTGAGTCACGCAGCACTTGTACTCAAATGCCCAGCTTCAGCAGGTGTGCTCCCTCCATTCCCGCTCCCCATGTGATGCTGCTGGGTTAATGTCTCAGGACAAGGCTCTGTGGTTTCTCTTTGGATGGCTGGTACAGATGTACAAGGGGAGCAGGCATCATCAAGGTTTCATCAGACTTCTAAGACACTGGCGTTTGAGCAAGCCTGAGCATGACCAAGTGAGGCAGTTGGGACAACAAATTCCAGGGGAGGAAAAACTGCACCAGGACAAAGGAAATTTGTCTGAGGACAGAAAGACAAAGAAAAGTCCTCCTTGTTGTAGCTCTAAGAAGGAGGTTAAACTTTCTAAAGTTAGGCAACACTCCCTACTTCCCAGCCGTCCCTCATTTGTCACCCAGATTATGTTGAATCCTGGGGCAGCATCTACATTTATTAAACTGAGTTATTTGCATCCAAAAAGAGTAATTTAAAAAGAAGGCTCGGGCAATGCTACTGATCTTGTTCACCTGAGCTGCTTCCAGATTATGGTAGGACTTTAGATTTTATTTACAATCCTCTGGCATCCGATTCTGGTGGAGTTATAACTACCTTGCCACAGTGCAGATGAACTGATAACCACATCTATTGATGCAAAGAATATACTCCCCTGAGTGGTGCCGTCAAGGAGCTGTGGCAGAAGCAGAAGCTGGAAGCCTTCCTCCACCTGCACTCCATGGCAGGTGCTGTGACCAGGCAGTATGCCCTGCCTGCTCCCTCCCCACTGAAACTGCTTCTGACCTTAACGGAAACAGGGAGGGTCGTTTCGAATGACTCACAGCATTGAATATTATGTTGGGAAATGAGCCATTGAGATCAGTAAATTGCTTTCATTTTCTGATGTGACTGTGGTGTTGGATGGGGATCAGGGAGGCAAAGGGTGGTTTGTTTATCCAAAAGGAGAAAGGGCTTAGTCAAAGTTTTGGTGGTTGATGAAAGTCCAGAGTTGGTAGCCAAGGACTGCCTCAGGGCACTTCCAGATCTGAAAATGTGATGGCATTTCCAAACATTAACAGTCTGGAAAGATTGGGATCATTTCTGGATTTGAACTGACGTGAGCACCCAAATGAAGCAGGGGCTCACAACTAGTTTTGTCAGAAGCTTGTCAACTACATTTAGGACATTTTATTTCAGACCTCAAGGGCTTTATTTGATCAGCTGTAGTTGGGAGTTTCTATTATCAGAACCAAGGGAAACCCTTTCATAATGGGGTCCAATATACCCCTTCCTGCTTTAGCATAAGGAAAGGTAAACGTATTGCATCTTTGATTTGCTGCTTGCTTAATTTAATCTAGATAAAAACTGGTTCTAACTTAATACTGTTTACTGAATGGTAGCTATGGACAAGACCTTTGCTAGGTTGAATACAGACCACAACCTGATGAGAAAAGGGATATGATGACAAAGGTAGTTGTAATAGCAGGATAAAAGAAAAATCTCTTCCCTTCCTGTGTTGTTACAGCAAACAAATGGACTTAGTGTTTTTTCCAGTGGGAACCCCATATAAAAATAACAGAATTTGCCCCACAAATGGCAGCAGTCCCAAGCTTTCATTACTCTTATGATACCACTGGAAGCCTTTTTCAAGCGGACACTGTGACTGTCTAACATGCTGGAATTTGCCCTTGCAAAGGTAATCCAGTGTGTGTATGTCACCTATGTGTGTGCACACATTCACACAAACACACTTTTACTCCTGCAGGTTCTAATCAGAGCAGATACCCATTCTTCACTCTACTGAGTAATTAAACTTCACCCTGCTGGAAGGCTCCCTGTGTTGGGCTGTGCTATGTTACACTGACAAACATGCACAGCATTTCCAAAAGACAGAATCATCCTGACAGACTAACATCACCAGTCAGCTTAAAATTTGACTGATCATCTGTAACAGAGTCTCACTAACTGGTTTTCACAGATGAGTAAGAACAGATACTGCTGGGGTTTTTAATTGCTACCATCAAGCTTAATTGGAGGTTCAAGCTGAATGAGTGTAAGTATACAGAGGCGGGTGTGGGAATGTGTCCCAGATTGCACCCACCACATTCTTCTGGTTGTCTCTGGAAGGAGATACCATCATTATAGTAACCATCCTTAGCCTTCCCACAGGTTTTTGGCTGGATGGAGCCCAGAGCTTCTCTTCCCCACCTGCTGTGGACAACCAGCGATAATATGTGGGAAGCTGACACTGCTCCCACCCTGTTCCTCTGGTTTGTACACACAACAGCCTCCACAAACAGAATGAAATCCACATGGAAACATTCACCAGGAAAAAAAATCTCTGACATGGAAGAGATTGCACTGCCAAGGGGACTAGGAGGAGCACAGAGAGGAAGAGAGCTGCTGCTGAATTCCTGTTGTTAAGAGCAGACCCATGTGTCATGCTTGTGGGGAGGGATACCTTCTCCCATCGCAGAGTTATAGCACAGCCAGCAGCAAGTGCACCAGTGATCTTGGCAAGTATGTGTGGCCACCTATCCAGAGAAGAAAAACACTGCTATAGACACTGAGAAGAAACAGCCTTTTGCAGGAAATTGCCTCAATTGCTCTTAAGAGGAAAATGCACACTCTGAGAGGAACGTTTTGGGTCTCCATAGCTCCATTGTGTGCTGTTTTGCAGATGAATTCCAGGGGCAGAAGGAAGAGTGTTTATTTAACTTTTATCAGCATTTCTTCTGAACTTATTTCAGTTCTGAATGAAAGTAAAAACTGATGGAATGTGATGGTTGTTGTAATTACTGCTTTTAGCTCCCATTTGTCTAGGAAGTGTGAATCATAATTACTCATGTCACAGGGAAGCTCCAAACAAGCCTTTCTCTAAATTTCTTTGTGGAAATACTCACACTCTTTACTTGCGCATCTCTCCTCTGGCAGGAAGGGAGCAGAGGCTGCCCTGCATTTCATATGTCATCTGTAGCTGTTCTGTAAGAAATACATTAATGACCAAAACAGGGATGGGACTGTGGTCAGTCCCAGGACCCTCTGTGCTTTGTTTGTCCTGTCATTTCCATAGGTATCCCTTCTTTAAAATCAATAGAAACAGCCAAGTTGCATCCCAAAGGGAAGTCAAGTATTGCTATTCCCAGTGCAGGCTCAGGGACACTGAATGCAATACTGCCTGCTTCAACAGAACTATTACTGTGCTTTGGTCATGCATAAGTAAGTTGATTTAAGTGTATATGTTTGGTTCTGTCCCACCCTTAATACATTATATATTTTTTGCAGCTTTGAGATGTTTGTGCAGCACCTGCCAGAGCTAAACTGAAGCCACTGCTCAGAGGGGCTGGGACCAATGCCATCTATATAAATACTGGAATAATTGGGCTTAGCAGCACACTCATGGCAGAACTCTGCCAGTTCACATGCAGTGTATCACTGCTCCTTTCACACAGCATGGATTTCATTATCCAGGTGAATAATAGGAGGAAAGGGAGGGCTAACTTCTGAAAGCCAAGACATAGATAAGCAAGTTTGCCAATGTTAGGAGGGGGTAAGCTGGTTTAGAGCAGTTACTTTACGAATCAGCTTGAATCCCCTCCAAAGCCCTTGTGGTTTTGGGTCCAAGCAGACAAAGCAATGCAATCCTTCAAGTGTTCTCAGTATTGACACACACTGCTGAGCCCTGTGTATGCCAAGATAAAAAGAGGCAACCTCCACTGGTCCATTATTCAGCGCTAGACAACTTGATTATGGTGGCAACAAACTACACTTTTGCAATATTGACATTGTGGTCTATGGTAACAAACAAGTTATAAAAGGCCTGCCACATTTTTAACTACTGCTATGGCTGTGATTAATGATTTTAACTCAATCTGAAACATCTGATCTGTCTTCTTTAGAAGAAAGTTCATGTAAAGTGCAATTCTGCAAAGGAAGTTTTCATCTGCTCCTAACTTGGGTCATGATGTCATCACCTTGCAAAGCTGGCCTGAGTCTGGTTCTCGGGAAAAATTGTAAGGAAATTCCTATTTAAGTATGGTCTTGTGGTGATAAGGGCTGCACTGCATCAGGACTAATTAATGCCTTCAGCCACATTAGGTGTGTGCAAGGAAAGCGTGGTCGTTTCTCTGCAGCATCAAACATCAGAAAGACTCTTACTTGCTCCAGCTTCTGAGCAATTCTGCAGAATGGCCGGGAGCTTCGCTGGCCTGCTGTGCCTGGGGCTTGCCAGAGCCAAAAGCATGATCCTATCCCACTGCTCTGCCTTTCTCCCTTCCCCTTGGGCTCAAGGGTCTCAGACCTGCTCCCTGGTTTCTGCTGGTCTGACCACCCATGTGACAAACCTGTCTCAGCTCAGCATGCTTCAGAGCTGGCAAAAAGGAGGCAAGAGCACATGGCCAGAAAGGATGGAGCAAGGATGCCTTTCCAGAGTAGCCTGTGGACAAAGTCTATCTTTATCCCGTGCCTGCAGTCTGAGCCAAATAACTCATAGCAGCTGGTCAGTCCCAAGCCAACTCATAGAGAGCTCCCTAAGTGCATGATGGATTTATGAAGAAGAAAAGTTAGAGCACCAGAACAGTTGACAGGAGACACAAGTTCAAAGCCTCATAGATCTGTAGGCACTTCCCTTGATTTCAGGGATTTAAGGTTTAGGGCTATACTTTGCTTGCTGCTAAGCAGAATGAACACATTGTCCTAAACCAGTAGGCTGATCTGAGTGTGATGAAGAATTTAGGTGTGCAGATAAAACTGTAAAGAGCGATGTAAGTCCCATGGAGATAAATACTTGCCCTGGAGTTAGCTTGAACTTCTAACAAGTATTTTCTCTATCTGCAAGGCGTAGCGCTGCAAACTTACCCTTAAACACAAAGCAGCCTGGAGCAGTCCCATGAGCTCTAGTGCTGCATAGGTGTAAACAATTATTAATAACAAATCTACTAGGCAAACTGGAAGGCATATTTGAGCTGTGGCAATGTTGTATCCCAAAGCACAACCAGATCATAGAGTGGTAGTTACTCACTTTCAATGCACGTCTGTCTGTCCAGTGTCTCCAAAAGGTACATCACCCTGCTACCCCAGCCTGTGCCTGGAGATCATTCATGTTATTTCTGTTATCATCACCAGTACTAACAACACCCTCACCACCATTGTGTGGGCTCAAAAAGCAGCAGTCTGGCAAAAGGTTGCAGATAGGGGGTGGAGCTTTGTTTTTTGACATTGTCATCAGTGATATGGGGTCAGTTCAAAAGCTTTAGGGAAATATTGCTTGATTCAGTGCTGACACTTTTGAGTCTAATTAACCTGGACATTAATTCTTAATGGAAAGTGTTACTGCAGCAGATCCTACCTGGCTCTGGAGGGTCCAGGAGGCTGCTCCCAACAGCTTATCCCCAGCTGAGATGCTGCCCCAGTGTTTTCACAAGGATGGTCCAACCACAGCCCAGTGTGGTGTTGTTTTCATGCCGATGGAACATACCGCCATTCCAACGTGAGTGAACATATTAACATCAACAGAGTCTTTTCCCCAAGCTAAACATATTACAGCATCAGCAAATTACAGGGCACTGTAAATTAGACTCCCTCTTGTGCAGACTCTGCTTGCTGGGCCAAGGCCACATCCCTCCCCTAAGGAAGGCAGCAACAGAGCTTTTCATTACTTCTCAGTTTCCCTTGCTCCTTGCACAGAGCTGTGTGCTTGGGCATGGGCGTATTTCTGCTCATGCTCCCCAAGCATCCATCTTATGTGCACTCCCCAGAGGATGTTTATGTCACGTTACACTATGCCAGTGGCTAGTAACCCCCCACAAAAGAGACAACCCATAGGTCTGGATCAGAGGTAGGGCATTTTTACCCATTAAAAAAAAGTGTCTTCCCCTTTCTGAGCACCTGAAGTCAGAAAAGGTTCAAACAATTCCCCAAAGCACCTGCATTGAAATCCTGGAGTCAGATAGACAGGTAGACCTGGCTCACTGACAGATGGGTTTTGGTTAACGTGTTTTTACAAGACCTTTTCTAGGGAACTGCAAAGGATGGAGAAATGCTATTGCAGGTCTGGGAAAAACAATGATTAAAACGAATTGTTGAGCTGATTTCATTGGAAAAACAACAAATGCAGCTCACATTCTCCCATCCCCCTTACCACAGCTGGCAGCTTTGCTTGCAGGAGTAACCCAGGGCCACCATCTCTAACTCCAATTGCATGTGGCAGTTGCTCTGCCAGCTCCAGTGCCAAGGCTATGCCACACTCATCTCAGTGCAGCCACCCCTCCAGGAGCTGCATTTAAGAAGAAAAGCCCTAAAAAAAGGCAGCAAAAGAGCAGCACACACAGGTAAATGATTATTTACAGCTGCTGCGTGGGAAGTGTTACACAAGGGGAGGGTGGAGTGCGTTCCATGGCCCTTCCACAGCCTGTGGACAGAAAAACCTATCACTGCTGTGATGTTTCTACTCCCCCAAGATGGAGTTAATACTGTTTACCTTGTAATGCAAATTCTATTTCTTGCTTTTTCCCCTTGGTTGAGCTTGTTTTCACAGCTCCCCTGCTGCTCTCCTGATGGGGCAGCTGGCTCTGAAGGCAGCCAGGAGCACGGGGCTGGGAGTACCAGCATCCCACCTTCCCACCTGCTGAAAGTTACTGTGTGGTTCCCAAATTAAAAGTCAAAGCCCTTGGTTGCAGTGGGAGGTGTATCCATGGCAGGGGAGAACACTGGTACTAGCATTAAGCTGCTCTCACATAGCTTGGTCTTTCCTAGGAGCCAGAGAAATAGGAAAGCATGGCACCAACTAGTCCTTATTGTTTTTTTCCTCCCTGGCTCCTGCACACTAGAGGTCTTGTCACCTTTTTTTCTGTTTATATGTTTGTTTGGTTTCTTTTTTCAGTAAAAGCTACCTGCAAACCATAGGGCATTGGCCAAAGCTGTCCTTATGCCCCTTAGCCTGTTGACAGTGCAGATGGAAGTCCTTAACCATGACCGTTTGTTCTCAGCCCTGATGTGAAAATGCAGCTCTTATGTCAGCCACATCCTTCACCTTCCTGGACAAGAGCCAGTGATGTACTTTTTGCAGATATGGCATTTTATGATGTGGTAGGTGAAATACAAAAACACCATGGTAAGAATGGGGACTTGTGCAATGTCCCAGAATGTGCCACCAACTCATCTAACCCAGCCTGTCTGTACTGGTCAGGTACAGCTTAGTGTGATTAGATGGAACTGGTGATGCAAGGACTTTGGAAACCGTTCCTCAAGGAGGAGGGAGGACCTGGACAACTGTAGAAAAGAAGGGCAGGGGGTGAGCAGAACCCACTTTTAGAGTAAGGCAAAACCTGAGCAAACAGAAAAACCTGGGACACTCAGCATCAGAACTGAGGTTTCTGACATGAAACCTGCTGCTGGGCCTGGCTGAGGAACCAGACAGCAGCAGAGGGCAGTTTCTGTCCCACAGGGCAAACTGGGTGGGTGGGTTGGCTGCATGGGGTACCCAGTGCTGAGCCCCTAGCCTGGGCAGGACCCACCAGATGGTGGCTGCTTGTAGCCCCTGTGACAGCAAAGCAGAAGCACCTACTGGTTGCCATGACCAGGGGCTCTTGCTCTCTGCAGCAGTTCTCTGCAAGAAACATAGACCCTAGAAACACCAAGTCCCTGATGCAGTATGCTAGGAATCCAGGCAGGGCTTTTCTGGAAAAGCTGTAGGAGTTGGGATGTTTTCCAGTTGAGCATATGAGGCTCAACAAAGGAGTGTTTTTCCCTTTCTGCTCAGCGATGCAGATGCCATAGCATGCAGGACTTCTGTGGGAACTATAGCAATGTACTGTAGAAAAGCAAGCTTCTTGTCACAGGCTGTACTAGAAGCAGGAAAACAGCAACCAGGCAAATTGAAGAACCAGTGGGATTGGAGAAATGAAGAGTCTGATGACAGGGATAATGAGAAA